CCTATACAAAGAAAACTATAAAACACTGTTAAAAGAAATAGAAGAAGACACAAAGAAATGGAGAGACATCCCCTGCTCATGGATTGGAAGAATAAACATTATTAAAATGGCCATCCTACCAAAAGCAATATACAGATTCAATGCTATTCCAATCAAAATTTCAATGTCATTCTTCAAAGAAATAGAACAATTATTGATGAAATTCATATGGAATCACCAAAAACCCCGAATAGCCAAAGCTCTCCTGAAAAAAAAAGAAGGGAATGGAGGCATCAGACTCCCAGACTTCAAACTATACTACAAAGCCATAATCATCAAAACTGCATGGTATTGGAACAAGAACAGACATACAGACCAATGGAATCGAATAGAAAATCCAGAAATAAACCCACAGATTTATGGTCAACTAATCTTTGACAAAGGAGCAAAGAATATGCATTGGAGCAAAGAAAGTTTGTTCAATAAATGGTGCTGGGAAAACTGGGTCGCTACATGCAAAAGAATGAAGCTTGACCACCACCTCACACCATACACAAAAATCAACTCAAAATGGATTAAAGAACTAGACATAAGACCTGAAACCATAAAATACATAGAAGGAAATATAGGCGAAACACTACGTGATTTGCACATCAAAGACATCTTTACAGACACATCACCCAAAGCAGTGATAGTGAAGGCAAAGATAAACAGCTGGGACTACATCAAATTAAAGAGCTTTTGCACAGCAAAAGAGACAATAACAAAAACAAAGAGAAACCCCACCAACTGGGAGAACATTTTTGCACCCAACACTAATGATAAAGGACTGATCACAAAAATCTGCAAAGAGCTGATGAGACTCAACAACAACAAAGAAAATAATCCAGTCAAAAAATGGGCAGAAGAGCTTAAAAGAAACTTCTCTGAAGAGGAAATGCAAATGGCCAACAGGCATATGAAAAAATGTTCAACATCACTTGTCATCAGGGAAATGCAAATCAAAACTACCATGAGATACCATCTTACACCAGTGAGAATGGCACATATTAAAAAAACTAGCAACAACAAATGTTGGCGAGGGTGTGGAGAAAAAGGAACTCTTCTGCACTGTTGGTGGGAGTGCAAACTGGTCCAACCACTGTGGAAAGCTGTATGGAGATTTCTGGACCTACTAAACATAGAACTTCCATATGATCCAGCAATTCCACTCCTAGGTATTTACCCAAAGGACACAGAAACATCAATTCCAAAGAACACCTGCACCCCTATGTTTATAGCAGCACTGTTTACAATAGCTAAGCTTTGGAAACAACCCAAATGCCCAAAAATAGATGACTGGATCAAGAAGATGTGGTACATATATACCATGGAATATTACTCAGCATTCAAAAAAGATAAACACATGCAATTTGCAGCAACATGGATGGCGCTGGAAGGGATCATGCTCAGCGAAATAAGCCAAAAAGAAAAAGAAAAATACCGGATGGTCTCACTCATAGCAGGAATCTAGAAAACTTAAATAAGGGACCAGGAAAATGAATAACTATAAGAAAGTGAAAATCAAAATCAACAAAAAACTATGAACCAGAGACACTTTTAGGGGGGCGGGGGTGGGAGGGGAGGGATTGGGGTCAGAATGGGGGGGCTGCAATTGTATGGGGAATATAACAATAAAATTTATTAAAAAAAAAAAAAAATAAAAAGTGTTCTCTGGAGTGACCTCAGAGTGCTCTGAAGTATAAGGTGACCATATGACCTTGGTGACTGTAGCGATGGGTGTCTAGAGTCACATACTAGGACATGTGCAAATTATTCTAGGCTGAACAAATTCTTTCTGCTGAAAGAAAAAAAAAACAAAACAAAAACAAAGGATTAGGGTTGAGAACAGAAGACAGAACTTCTAGAAATATCTTGAGGTCACATACAGAATCTCTTTTGCGGTCCCTCATTATCCCCAGCACTCTGCAAAGCCTGGTAAAAATGTTTAGAAGAAACCTTGATGGACTAAGATACACACAGAGAAATGGCACACATCATAAGTCTAATCAATTTTCATAACGTGAGCACATAAGTTGATCCGCAGTTAAATAAAAACACAAAATTTCTAGCAACTAAGTAGCCCTCCTCACAATCCTTCCCTCAAGGGTAAGCATGATCCTGACCTCTCCCAGTTTTTGAACTACATATTAATGGAATATACACAAGATACTACTTTTGTGTGCCCAGTGCCCGCTTAACAAGATGTTTGTGAGATTAAAGCACATTACTGGGTGTGGAGGCAGTAGTTTGCTCACCTCTGAGTCATGCAGGATTGGTTCTAGATAGCCACAACAAAGAACACTGCAATACAAGTGGGTCATACAAATTTTCTGGTTTTGCAGTGCCTATGAAAGTTATGTTTACATTATGCTGCAGCTTATTAAGTGTGCAATAGCATCCTGTCTTTAAAAAAAGCAGCACGGGCCTTCCCGGTGGTGCAGCGGTTGAGCGCTGGGTTGCGAAGCTGCTTGTAGCCTCTGCAGCACCAGTTCGATCCCCGGCTGCTCCCCGACCACTGGAGGAGGGTCCCACATGGCGCGCAGAACTCTCCTGCTGCCCGCTGCTCCCCTCAGCAGTGTACTTCGGTCCTTCTGCCTGCTCTGCTCCCCGCTCTGGCACTGGTGAATTTTCTCACCCTCCCGTGCTTCTGACTGTACCCAGTGCTTGTATAAATAAATAATCTTAAAAAAAAAAAAAAAAAGCAGCACACTGGGGCCTCCCTGGTGGCGCAAGCAGTTCAATGCTTGAATGCAGCGCTGCGAAGCTGTCCCCAGCCTCTGCAGAGCCAGTTCGATCCCAGCTGGCCTTGGAGCAACCCACATGGCAAGCAGACTTCTCCTGTCTCGCTCGCTGCTCCCCTTAGCAGTGCGTTTCCTCAGTCTGCCTGTTCTGTTCCCCACTCTGTCTCTGGTGAATCCTCTCACCCTCCAGCACATCTGGCCTGTACCCCAGTTCTTATATAAATAAATCTTAAAAAGAAAAAAACAAATAGCACATACATCTTAACGTGATGCACACAGTCAGTACAAGATGTTGGGAAAAAAGGTGCCAACAGACTTATTTGAAGCAGGGTTGCTATAATCCTGCATTTTATAAAAAAAACACACTATCTGTGAAGCACAGTACTGTGCAATAAGCTGAGTCAGTGTGAACATCCCACTGACTGCAGCAGCAAGGGATGCCACAGTGACTGCCTTGGTCCTTGTGTCTGAGCAATTTTTATTAATGAAATCTAATTCCATATAATGATGTTCAGTGAGGTAAGTTTATTGCTATCCTTCCCATAAAGAAGTTTCCCCTTAAGGTTTTAGGTTCAATCCAGGATCAGCCAAAGTACTAGAACTATGCTGTTATATATCATGAATATACATTACAATAATATATAAACTACATCCTTAAATACACCCATTTACATTAGTAATTTTTGTTTCCTGGGCTCAGATGTTTGAGCATTTGTGGCTGAAGGGAGAATTAAAGTTCTCTGTCAAAGATATCCCAGCCCTCCCTGTTATGTGAAATAAGTCCAGGAGCTCAGCAGTATCCCCAGGGCAGTACACTTTATAAAGAGTATTACAAAAATTGAAGAACATTAGGAGTTTAAATGGCTTATCAGGGTCAGAAGGGCAAAGTAGGAAAAGGATTTGTGAAATCCAATATCCAATTTCTGTTTCTTTCATATGACATCTTCTCCATTTAAAAAGGAAATAAAGGCAGGCATATTTAAATTTCTGTAGCTGGCAGGGGTCACAGAAGGCCTGCAAACCCTTGCCCCCCTGGTGGTGGGCGTCACGTTCAACACCCTGGATCAGGGCCACTGGGGAAGCAGTCACACCCCTGGGGCTGGGCAACATTTCAACCCTGCCTTGGATACAAGGAGGTTGAAAGTCAGATTAGGCCAAATCCTCTTTTAATAAGACTGATATCAGGAAACAAATGGCAGCGTAAGAAGGGGTCTCAGCGTAAGATGGCCTGTCATGTGTGAGAGATCCAGGGAAAGGAAAGGGGCAAAGAGAAGAAAGGAGGCCACAAAGATGGATGGGCTCGCTGGGGAGGGCAAGAGAGGAAGGCTGGGATAGAGGGGGAGACAGAAGAAGTGAGGAAGAGAGTGTGGTGATGTTGGAGTCGAATACTGATTTATGTTTTCCAAGTTCAGAAAACAGATTTAAGAATAAGAAATGTTAGACATTTATCTAGGTTATTTACTTTTTGCTATGTGGACCAACAGTAAAATATAAGTTGTTTCTTATCAATACTTTCAGAAAATCACATTTAGATGGCTAATCTCTAAGGCATATTTCAGTACTGACGAAAGGTACCTTGATTTCATAAAATGATTTTCTTTTACAGTCTGTGGGCATATTTATTGTTTTGGAAAGTCAACTTATACAGTGGCAGTGAGGAAAGGGTAGAAATCACTGGAAGGGTTAAACTGGCATGTGTGTTTAAAAATCCTCTCAAAATAAAGACAAATCCTGTGAGGGGCTATGAGATTTTAAAGGGGAGACCTGAGTACCAATGAGGGGTATTCAGGTGGTCAGACACTGGGTTTCGGACCCTGTCATTACTAAAAATCCACTGAGTTTTTGACTCTTGGCTGCTAAGTCCCCTCTGAGTATTTCCTTAGGGCTATTTCTATTTGCAACACTAGGTCAACCAACTACCATCTTGTTGCTCTTATGGAAAGGTCATTCATCAAGAGCTTACAATGTGCCAGAGAAGTGCAAATTTTTAATGGCATAATTCATTTTATGACAACCTTATGAGGTAGGAACTACGATTATTTCCATCTTCCTGATGAAGAAAATAAGGTTCTAGAAGCTTAAATAATGTCCCACAGGTTCCAGAGCCTCTTATCCAGATCTTCCAAGCCTAGAGGTTGAGTCTCAACTACCAGACTGACCTCATAGCACCTCCTTTGTCTCCACCTCCTGAGCGGTGCATAAACATTGGGCAAAGCTGTCTACACTAGACATCTCAGCTACTTGAACCAGATGCACTGCTTTTCCGGGGCCTGATGGGATCTCCTAGAGACTAGTGAGTACTAGGTTTTTAGAATTACTATTCCACATAAAAGCTAGGAAAAGGGCTTTCTGGAAAGCTTGGATTCTTCTACATGGAGTCTGATGCTGCTCTGCTTATGTTACCATATCTTAGTTGTAGTATTCTGGTGGGCACTGGCCACTTTTTGACTGCCCCGTGTCCATTTACCTTTCAAATAGCACTCACATTCCCCTGCGGGGAAAGTAAAAATGAAAAACATAACAAAATTCCTTCCCTTCTTTGGGGATGGATTGTCTGGCTGCCTTAGGGCAGAGGGCTGGTGAATTTTTCCCATTCACATTCTGAGGAGGATCCCTCACAGCCAAAAAGCTAAATGAGATACCGCTTAGTTTAATGGAACCAAGAGTCCTTTGGGGCAAGTCTCCTCTCGATTGTTGAGCTACTGCTATAGTGCATTTTCAAGAGCATGAGAATTTCAGGGACATCTGGCAATAGGGGCATTTTCAGAAGAGTCTTTGGTCTGCCCAGAGCATGGGGATGATGAGTTCATTTGCTAGCAATCGCCACAGCCATTTTCTGTGCCATCAAGAATTAACACTAACTCCCAAGCACTGACAGGTGGTAGGTCCCATTCAGGAGCCAGAAGAAACCCTCTACATACACCATATCCAAAATTCTGGGAGCTGGTCTCTTGTCAGACCCAAGCCACCATCTCCCACCACACTTTTAGGAATGGAATCATCTAGGAGGCTTCTGTGAAGAATCCTGCAGATGAGTTGACATATCCTAGCGGTATGTCTCAGTCAAGTGTTAAGCTGAAAGGTTCCTGTCCCAAATCCAGATACACACAAAGGCAAATCATTAAAATTCCAACACAATTTCAAAGCACAACTAAACATTATTAATCTTTTGAACCAAAATACAAGCTAAAATGGTCTGTTGGCTGTGTTAATGAGATTTGAAAGGTGAAACATACTCCCTACAGCAATACACGGTAATTCAGCAAGAATTTAGTAAATTATTTTAGAGCTTTAGCTGGTATCTCAATCAATACAATGCATCAGAAAGAAAAAACTAGAAATACAAAGTACTACAATATGCTATTTTATTTTAGACAATCTTGATGAAGGTCATTATGTTAACATGATTCATATGTGACCTACAATGCAATTTCAGTCTGAGTGCTATTTAAAGGGAAACATACTTTGAAGTTATGGAATAATATGGGTAAAAGCTGGTCTTTAGATAGCCTCTGCTGGGTTTTTCTTTTCATCTCCTGACTTTGTGGATGAAATGCTAGTCTGGTTATAGGGACTAAGCATGTGAGAGCTGCAAGGTGTAAACGTTATACACATGTGTGCGCGTGCACACACACACATACACACACATACACACACACACACACTCATCTTGTAGTCAGTCCTTTTAGGTCTGAGATTTTTTTTTTTTTTTTTTTTTTGTGGGACCCTTGTCAGTGGCTGGGGAATGAACCGGTGCTGCAGAGGCTGTGGGCAGCCTCGCAGCCCAGCGCTCAACTGCTGCACCACCAGGGAAGGCCCTAGGTCTGAGATCTTAAAAGATAGACAAGGTTGAGACAAGGGAGCTGGAGAAAGGAGGGGAGGAGGAGTTCATGTAAACAACATGAACAAGGAAACAAGGTCTGTTTGTGTTGGGTTGTGTGTGAAGAACAGGAGGACTTGAATTTGGATTTGGGTCTGCAACATTCTGTTCAAAGCATTTCCCAGTTCGTGAGCTCATATGACCCCTAAGACACCATGAGGAAGAGGACAGGTATGCATATCCTTTGATTATAGAGAGTAAACTGAGATCCCAAGAGGAAGTGACTTGGCCAAGGTCAATACTGACAAAGTGATTCTCCAAATTCAGAGAAAGTCAATATTTAACAGAACTCGCACAATGCAATCCTTTAAATCTGAAATGTAACATATAAATGTAAAGGCAGTCCCTCTCTTTTGGGCTGTCTGTACTATATTCAGGTAGGCACTCAGAATTTGCCTTGAATTTCAACCATATGGGGTGTATGTGTAACGTGGGAATGAAAATAGAGCCTTCAGAACCATTTGAAATACTTTCCCTTCTAATAGAAGGTTCCTTTGCCTGTATTTTAATTAGCAGGGGAATAAAATCATGATCATTTTATGTTATTAAAAAGTTTCTGTTTTAATAGGGCTCACAGCTGTAACCATGGCATACTGCTTATTTCATGTGCAAGAGATCACCCACCATTGCCAATCTAACAATTCTCCCATCCATTTCATTGTTGTAGAAGTTCTCTTCATTTTGCAAATTTTAACATAAATCCATTCTTTAAAGTTACTGAAATTACTAAAATTGAAATGTTCTTTAAAAATACAATGGGGTCTTATCCACCTTCTTATGACATATTAACAAGAAGGATTGTTCAATGGTGTTTTTATTTCCAGAAGTCATTAGCCAAGGTGGCAGCTTAAAGACAATTATCAATCTAATAAAACTTTATTTACATTGCATACTTGGAAAATTTATTGAGTGTTGGCTTCTGAAACAGATAGGCCTGGATGGAAACACACTAGGTTGTTTTTAGACCTGAGTGCAGTCTGGATCATCACTGTCCATGACTGATCATGAATCGACCCAGTCAAGTCTTCTCAATTCTAAATTCTCATGAATTCTACTCTATAAACCTCTCTGGTTCTTTATGACTCCTAAATTTTCTCTCCAAGGGATCAAATATTCTGGCTTTCTTTCCTATCATGCTCCCAAATGTCCTGCATACTGATAAAATTAGGACAGTCACTCATTTGTCCAGTACACAGTTTCAGACATCTACTCTACAGAAGCAGTGTGCCAGGCACTGGGTGTCCACTGTTGGACAGAAGAGACCTGGTGCCTGCCCTCACTAAGCACTCAGGCTGACCTGCACCCTGTCTTCATTGTTCAGAATTATTCTTATTAGTGCTCTGATTCTATCATCTAAATCCTACTTATCCTTGAAGGACTGGATCAAGGTTTGTTCATGGCCATGTCCTCTCTGTTTGGCCTTTATTTTATGCAGCCAACAAATATTTATTAAGTTTTCCACATGCCAGCACTGCTGGAGATTCAGTAGTAAATAAGACTCAGTTTCTATCTTCAGTAACTTCCACGCCTGTCAGGGAGATGGATAAGTAGAGAAATGATTAAAACATAGTTAACAAGAAAACCAGGATGAGATACTTTTGAAGGACAAAGGAAAGACATTCAATCTAATCCTGGGAATAGGTGATATTTATATAAAGATCTGTGGAGTGAATAAATATCTAGGAGGTGAAGATACTGAAGAAAGATACTGGTGGAAGCCTGCTGAAGGCAGGGGGGTCAACATGTACAACAACCTGCTGTGAGGAAACAGAGCTTGGGGCACCAATAGTTGAGCATGACTGACCTGTGCACTATGCATGAGCCATTCAGCATGGAGGAAGCATTCCTGGGATGCACTGCTCATTAGGTCAGTTACAAGTCTTTGCACTGAGGGTTCTGCACTGTTTGCTGGTGGCCTCCTCTCTAACCTATCGATCACTGCCAGGTCTTCTGAGTGGGGTCTGTTAGTTGTTTTAACCTAGAGAAAGCCCTGGTGGTAATGCTGTAAGTGAAGAAAGCACTCTAGAGGTTTCATGCCACAGCTGAAACCAGTCCTTAGTGGAGGTGTGATCAGTATGTTTCCAGATAAAAGGCTGACCTGACACCATCTGGAAAAGATGAATCACCCAGCTGAGCCCTGCCCAAATTTCAGAGCCACAGGATCCAAAAGCAATAAAATGGCAGCTGCTGTAATACATTAGGCTTTGGAGTAGGTCATCACACAGCAGCTAATAGCCAAAATACTTATGAGTGGGAATAAGAGATGAGAGAATAAATTAGTCAAAAAAAGAGTAGAAAGTTTCTTTGGTTTCTATTTATAATTTATGACTAGCCATAAATTACAGGCTGAGTCTACATATGCCAACCTCTTCCAACCTTTTTAGCATTTGTAATGAATAATTCTGTCTTAGCAGGGACTTCTTTTCTACCTATACCAGGTTTTAAAGTAAATACTTGAAATAAGTAGTCATCACTTGAATTATGGCACTTATTTCTTGATGTTATAGAGAATTCTAAGAGCTCCCAGTTAAAATTCATCAGGGTGAAAATGTTAGTCTGTGATTACAGAATCAGAACTATTCATTACAGCTATTCAGAGAATCTTCTTTATGAGTTTAATGACATAAGCATATTGTATTGAATTATTATGGTACTGCATCAATTGCACTCATAAATTTAATATACTCAGTCTGGTTCACGTATTCTAATAAAATCCAGCAAGCTTTAAAATTTTTATAAGGGATGTGTATTTAAAGTCCATGTGATGTTCAATTTTTACAGGTTGATGTTCTTGCTCAGAGTATTAAGTAAGTAGCTTCAGTGATCATGATGATGCAGCTGAGCAGATCAACAAGCTTAAGGTGAAACCCCTCAAACAAACAAGCCACAATGGAGAGCCCAAAATCTGCTTGGAACAGGAAGCTGAGGAACAGAATTGCCCTCCAAGACACATGCCAATACCAGTCCTGTCTTTATGGTCATGGAGGGGAAGCTAGGAAGTGAGTTTATCCCATACCTGTGAACCAGAAGTGACATGCTTCAGCTGTAACTGGTTGGGCAAAAGGCTTTAGAAGACCTGATAGGCCTCACTCTACTTCATTTGAGTGGAGCAAAAAAAATGGGAGGATGTTGTGTGGGAGGAGTTTAGTTCCTAGTGCTCATCATGAGTCCATATTTGGTTACTGATACTTTTGGACCTAGCTAAGGGACTGGTGGCTAAACACAGATGCATAGCAATTCATCATCTTCAGTTGGTATGAAGAAGAGGCTGAAGAGAGCTCTGTAGACTTAGGTTTATCATACTCCCAGCCAGCTCCTGGGGCACCCAATCACTATGCAGCTACCATTTGCAGGGGTGCCACTACAGCACAGGGGTTCAGAGTAAGTCCCTGAATTCCTCTGTACTTTAGCTTTCTGGTATAATTATATTATCTTCTCAGGATCAGAAGATTAAATGAGCTATTTTCTGTAAAGGTCTCAGGGCATGGCCCAATTCATAGTATGTACTTAATAAGTGGTACACATTATCTATATAGCTTTGTCCTCAGGAAGTTAATAAGCAAATATGTTAATGTTCTCTTCTGTTAGAGGTTTAGAAACACATGGGCTTAAAATATGGAAGTATTTAACTTTTATGTTTTCCCCTTCAAGGGAAATAGAAGACAGCAAGAATTTGAAATGCTTTTTTTCCAAAGTCACCTCATTTCATATCAGATATTGGCAGCCCTTTATTTCAAGAGTTACTTTAAAGTAGAGTTAACATATTTTTAAAATGGGAAATCACAGCAAAACCAAGTTAAAGAAACCTAGACATTACCAAGTAAATTAATTATCCTCCAAAATCTCATTTTAGGACACATTTTGGAAAAAGGTTCTAAAACATACCTCAGGAGGAAAAATTTCTTTGTTTCTAAGCTCATGACTCCTTCCTACACTGTGTAAACCTTCAAAGGGGTGTCTGACATTCTGAGACAAAATCACTTTTCCTAAGGACCAGTTTGATTGACAGACTTTCAAATAAGAATCATGCTGTGTGGTACCCCTTGGCTACAATGTACTCAAACTCGAAGAATCAGGATCTAAAACACTAGGGAATTAAGTAGTTGCTGCACATTAGCTGCTGGCATCCCAAAGTCTTTCTTTTAGTAGACCTGGACATGTGGGATGTTTCAAGAAGATGGAATGACTATGTCCTTCTTCATATAACTATTCTTCCCTTTAATGTCTTGCCCTAGCGTAGTTTATATAATGATGGCAGATTTTCTTTGACTGACCTTGGAATAGGACACTGATTAATACCCCTGATCAATACCGAGTCTCTGAATTGCAGGGCAAGAGGGTACACTTTTGAGACTCCAGGAAAGGAGACCTGCTGCCCCTTTTTTTGTTCTTTGGACAAGGGGCTCCTGATGATCCCTGTGAGATTACTTGACTTGCAGATTATCCTCCTGCCTTGGGAGTTCCTCCTCTGTGTCCACACACTGCCCTAAGTTCCGGAGGGAGAGACGGTCATGGCCCAGGTGGAGAGAGAACTGTGGCCCCTAGTGGTAGGCCTGTGACCCCACCTCACAGAGCAGATTAGCTAGGGATTTGGATTATCTGCACCAATGATCCTCTTCAATGGGGACAATAACCGAGACTCAATTCTGTCAGGGAAAGAGGAGGCAGAAAGAAAAGCCAGATCAAAACTTCTCTACTCCATCTTTAGCTCTAAAAAGGGTAGGTGTGTATTCTATACAGCAAATGAAAGTATAATATTCCTTTAGTAAATGGGTATTATCTACAGAATTAAACAATTAAGTTAAAAATATACACTGCAAATATACATTTAGCATAGTACTTTGCTCACTAAACATACTATCCATTAGATGAATGACACGATGAACAGCTATTAGGTAATGTTAATAAATCTCCATAAACGATGAGAAACACGGGTTTTCTTTCCTTGGGACATTATCTTGTAACAAAATTTTAAGGTTTATAGTACCTTCTTTCTTGTGAACCAAGGATGTAAACGTGTATCAAATCTTAACTTATCCTTCAAAGGCAAACTTTAGAAATTTCTTTAACTATCCTGGCCTTTTCCTAAATCAGAGAAGTTGCTGCAGAAGAAAAGTAAAGAATGTTGCCAATAAGGCAGTTGATTACACATGTGCTTCCTTGGGTACTCCGGTCTGGCTGTGTTAAACACCAAACGAACCCAAAAATTATGGGAGCATCAGTCTTTCAGTCATCAAAACTATTAGCACTAGAGACTATTTTTGCTTAAAGGCTATGAAAGCAGTGAAGTAAAAGTTAAAAAATACCAGCAAAATGTGGACAGAAAGATGATCTTACAGATCAAAGGGAAATCTTACCAGCCTTGGGGATCGTGGAGAAAGCCTTGCAGTCATTTATCCATGAAATAATGGACTAATCTGAGGGCACTAAACATCTACCTACCGCTTTTGCCACAAGGTAGCTGCTTTTTGAAATAAGACATGTCAGTTTATATTGACTGAGCTATTAATTGAATATACCCTTCTGCAAATGAATATAATTTTGTGAACTGGAAGATAAGCACTAAATGAAAAAGGAAAGGTGAATCAGCAACAACATATAATAATGAACATAGAGACCCTAGATTCTGGAGAGAGTAAGGGCAAAGAGCCCTTGTTGCTCCTAGCACTGCCCCAACAAGCTGAAATAAAAGCGGAACTGGGGTTCTGTTTTTGGCAGGCTAAAAACTCCATTGAGAAAAAGGAAATGGCTTCATTTACTATCATTTTCAACTTTGATTAGCAAATGCTTTCTTGATTTCAATATCAGTTTCTTAATTTTACTTATAAATAATATGAAATGGGTGATCTCAATTAGAAAACAGATTAGAGAAAATCAATTATTTTTTGGTTGCCTAGAATGATTATTATATATGTAAATGTAAACACACTGTAATGAATTGCTAGGAACAAAAGTAAGTATATCTAAAATCGGATGAAAGCTTTTCATGGGCGAACAATAAAGATAAAAAGTTTTATAGAACTGGAATAAATGATATTAGTATCCATATTAGTATCTGGCAACATACTATGATACTATGCTATTAGTATCCAATAGTAGTATCCGGCAATATACTAGGATTCATTAACATTATGAAACATAAGTGACATGTTTAGAAAAAAAAAGAATTGTCAAGGGAAAAAAAATAACTAATTGAAAGTTTAAAATAAAGATGCAGTTTACAAAGGCAACAAGTGACAGTATGGAAGATTACTGGCAAAGGTCACGTGAGCACCTTTTAACCAAGAAAAATGTGTTCCATCTAATATATTATGTCCAGAAAACAAGTGTGAGTAAGTGGAGTTAAGGGGCTTGAAGCATCTTCAAGAAAGGCCAATGCAAAGTGAGAAGGGCTTAAGAGAGAAAAGATGGAAAAAAGAGACAAGAAAGAGAAAAGATGATTCACAGATATGATATGAAGCAACAAGTAGAAAACTCAGTGGAGGTAGGCTAGAGATGGTGGCTCCTAAATACACAAACGTACAGGAAGAATTTTGAACATGTCTTTTGGGCTGTTGCAACAAAGGAAATGAATGAAGACATAAACGCTAACATCAGTGGAAATAAACAAAATTGACTGTTTCAGTCCTTAGGCTTTATCACAACACTAGGAAATTCAAAGCAACAAGCAGAATCTTAAAACAAGGGAAGAAAGAGAGAGGTAGATCACAGGAAGAGAGAAGGAGAGAAAAATGAAGGGAGGACCCAACCAGGAGGGTCATAACAAATAAATGGGATACCAGCAAGAATGAACTAAAAGAAACCTGGAGAGGATATCATGAAAATCTACTAGAAATCAAGAACATGGGAGAGATAAAATGCATACAGATAACTGCAGCAGAAGAGATAGACTGCTCCCCAAAGTAGAAGTGTGGGAGCTCTGAGCACTAGGGACAAAGGAAAGGCCCTCTAAACTTTGGTAGGGGAGAGAAAAGGATCCTGTCTCATACAAAGGATCCAGTATCAAAAGGGCTTTGAACTTCTCAACAGCAGTACTATAGTTAGAAGACATTGGAGAAATCCCTTTGAAATTCTGAAAGAAAATGTGTTCCAACTAATATATTATATCCAGTCAATGTGTGCATGAAGAAAGCCAGTTTCAGATGTGTCTTGAGAAATTTACATCTTAGATATCATTTCACAGGAAGTTATTAGAGATGTGCTCCATCAAAATGAAGGAGTAAATCAAGGAAAAGGAAGACACAGAACACAGAAAACAGGGCAAATAATTCAACAGAACAAAGAATGATGGAGAAGGGGTGTGACTCAGTCTGAATAGCACAGTAAAGAAGTTTCAAGGAAAGACTTCTTCAAAAGGCTATATTCCTAGAATACCTGATGGTCTGATGCTTTCAGAAGAGCATCTGAAGATCAGTATTTAGGGCCTTCCCTGGTGGCGCAGGAGGTTGAGCACAATGCTGTGAAGCTGTCAGCAGCCTCTGCAGCGCTGGTTCAATCCTAGCCAGCTGGTGAGGGTCCCATATGGTGCAGCAGACCTCTCCTGTCTCGCCTGCTGCTCCCCTCAGCAGTGTATTTCGTCAGTCTGCCTGTTCTGTTCCCCGCTCTGTCTCTGGTGAATCCTCTCACCCTCCCCGCGCATCTGCCCTGTACCCTGATTCTTGTATAAACAAACAAACAAACAAACAAACAAATAAATAAATAAATCTTTGAAGGTCAGTATTTAATAAACTAAGCAGCCCCACTAGCTGCTCTCCAGCAATGCTCACACCCAATGGGAGGGCAGAGCAGGGGAATGGCAGGTGTGCCAGCAAGCTGAAGGAAGGCGGTGGGATGTTAAAAAATCAAGAAGTAATACATGAATACAGTCTTAGTTTGGAGGAAAAGACCAAAATGTACTCCCCCAGCTTTTGTTGGGGAAAGGGAAACGGAGGGTATAAAAATCTAAGGGGGCTGCTTTTCAGAAAAGCCTAAGAGAACTGTTTGAGCAGATCCACAATTG